AATGAGAGACATACCATATCAATTATGGATTGAACCAATGTGATATGTCCTTACTACATTGGTTTTTGCTATTATTACATCGGTTTTTGTCATAACCAATCTAATATGAGATACTTTTTTTCAAGTATAGTTCTTGGTTATCATTAACCCAACCTATAAATTCAAATTTTGTAAATAGAAAGCCAAACAACTCATATACAAAGAAGAGTAATGACTATTTTTAATTTTTAAGTAAGATGCTGGTAGAAGTTGTTGCATAAGGACATGACAATCATAGGATGTTAAGTTAACAAGTTTCAAATCTTCCATTGACACAAGACTCTTAATATTTGAATAGTATCTTTGTGATACTTTGAATTCACATAAACACTTACAAAAGCTTTGTTTATAATTTTTTGACATTTTGGAGGTAGGTATATTCCTTTTTCATGAGCTTGTGGTTATAACTCTACTCGTACACTCATCTCAACCAGATTTTTACAAGTATTTACACAATCTTTCGTCTTTTCTTTAATATTAAAAAGTGTGTCAATTATATTATTACATACATTCTTTTCAATATGCATCACATCTATATAATATCTAATATCTAGTTTGGACCAATGTGGGAGTTCAAAGGATAATGATTTCTTCTTTCATATGTTCATCAGAAGAACCTTCTTTGTATTTTTCCAAGTATACCATTCACTTTGACCCGATCATACACTTGTTCATTAGTTAAAGGTCTTAGAGTTGTTACATCCCATTAACATCCATTAAAAACATTTTTTAGTCTACGATATACATATGATTACATTGTAGAAATTTACGATAATCGATGTAAGAAGTCTTCTTTCCATGTTTCAATTGATTATGACTAGTTCCTTCTTCACATATAAGACATGCATGATATACTTTAACACTATAACCACTTAGATTTCCATGCGTTAGAAAGTCATTAATGGTACAAAATAATGAAGCATGCAACATAAAATTCTCCTTATGATATGCATCAAAGAAATTAACTCCATCCTCCTATAACAACTTTAATCCTTCTACTAATGGAGCAATGTACACATCTATGTCATTTCTTGGTTGTCTTGGTTCTGATGTCATCATAAATAACATCATATATTTTTTGCTTTATGCACATCCAATAAGACAAGTTATAAATGACAAACAAAAAAGATAATGAATTATGTTTGTTACTTAAGTTAATATAAGGATTTTCTCCATTTATTGCAAGACAAAGTCTAAGGTTTATTGGGTCATTTCCAAACTCTAGAAATAATGAGTCAATTTTCTTCCATTGTAATGAATCAACAACATGGTATAACAATCCATCAGATCTTTTGTCATTTGCATGCCGCACAAGATTCAATGAATCATTAGCTCTAGTAAACAAAAACTTAAATCTACGAATAATTTAAAGATACTATAACACTTTTGTAGGAAAACCCTTTTTTGTGTTGAAATCATCATAATCATTATTCTTCACTTTATAGTGTGAAATTCCACACCTTATACAATTATGTAATACTTCAAACTATTTTCTGTATAATATACAATAATTAGGACAAACATATATTTTTTTATACTCCAAATCCATTGGACACATGATTTTCTTACCATCATAGTGACAGGTGGGTAGTATATATATTACCTTTTAATAACATTTTATTCAACAATTCAAGTAATTAAGTAAAACTTTTATTAATCTACCCATTTTTTGCCTTAATATTTATCCATCATAGTACTAATGATAAGCATGAGAATTGTGTATAACTTAGATACAGAGGTATCTTAGAATTAGTTTTCAATATTTGATATACATGTGTTTGTTGAAAAAAATTATTCTCAAACATCAGAAATCATGTTCTCTACTTGATCATCAACATCCATATAAGAATATTGAGATTTGGATGTGTGAAAAATGTTTAGTAATTACCATACCAAGTCCAAATTGTATAATTTCGTAAGAAACTATCATATAAAATATAATCTAGTATCAATTCAACTTCTAATCATTTCCTATTCAAATAATTAACACATGATAAAAGAATCTTTCATTGTTATCTACATCTTTAGACGATTCAAAGGATTTTATAAATTCTTCAACCGTGATTCCCATACTCCACACTTATTCTACTAGAATTTATCCAATTTTAATCCATAACTATATAACGACATTTATAATGATTTATTTCATGCATGAATATCTCAATATTTTTTTTTTAGTTTCAACATATTGCATTTAAGAAGACATTTTTTTATAACTCATGTATCCAATAATATATTTAACACAATATAACATAACTTTTATACTTAACAAATATTTAAGGGATTCTAGCCATATATTTAAACTTCACTAATTATATAATTCTCTAATTATAAATTAAATTCTTAATCCTTAATTTATATTAAATTCCCAATTGTAAAATTAAATCCAAAATCCATAATTTTAAATTAACTTCCTAATCCTTAATTCTAAATTAAATTCCTAATCTCTAATTTTAAATTAAATCACTAATTATAAATTAAATCACTAATTCTTAATTTTATACCAACTTTCTAATTCTAAATTAAATTCCCAAATATCTAATTTTACATAAAATCTAAAATTACAACTTAACCATACATCAATAGACACTTTGCCAACAATCACATATTAAACATAGATGCATAAGAGAGATATAAATGATGGTGACACAAAAGATGTGGTAGAGTGGTGGCGCAACAAGTGTGACACAGCAGTGGAACAAGGTTTACGTGGTGCAATGGACGATAACAAACGATGGTGGAAGTAAGGGTTCGTTCACATGCTATGGTGGTGACATAGTGCAACAAGCCGTAGAGACTTTTGCAGTTCACGTTTGCAGAAATAAAGTGTGTGGAGAAAGGGTGAAAAATTTAAGAGGAAACCAATGTAATATCCTCTCTTAAATTACCTTTTTAAATGTTTTCTAAAAATATTCTAAAATCAACTTTCTGAAAATATTTTTACAATTTTTTTGAAAAAGGTTATTTTGAAATATTTTTAGAAAGCCTTGAAAAGAGTAAATCCAAAATTTAAATCTTACATATAAAAATTCATTTTTGGATTTTAAATTCTGGAAGCTTTTTAACTTAATTTTTTTTAAATTATAAAATTATATTTTGAATTTTATAATTCAAAACTTAAAAAAATTATATATTTTTGGATCTATTCGTCCAATTTTTTTTAGAATTTTCAATTCGACATACTTCATGCTTTCAGATCACTCATTTATAAAACTAAAGTTATTATTTTCTTTTGAAATAAATATGAAATAAAGAAAAAACATTATGAGGTGTGGGAAGAACACGACATAATCCAAAAGTAAATTTGAAAAACTCTTTATAAACCTATTTTGTAAATTAATAATCATCAAATTTATGGGAGTTTAGTCTGCGCATATAAAATCAAAATGTTGTTCATGGGATAAGAATTATCATCGGCTTCGATATGATTTTAGTTTCCATAAAATAAATTTTTAACTGTGGTCTCAACATATTTTTATCATTTCAAAATTTAAATTTTGGATTTTTATAAAGTATTCTTTTATTTTTTTTATCTCTTCAAAAATTTAAAATCACTATTTCTAGTTTTCAATAATAGTTTTAAGGTAACATTTAATTTTAAAACCAATCGAGAAAATTTTAAAGACATTTGACATTTTATTATTATTATCTTTCTTCTCAAACAAGATAAAAGAAGAGGAAAAATACTGCATTTCTATTTAAGATGTGTTACATACAGTGACAGATACCACTTAATCACATGAAATGATTATTTTATCTCTATTAAAGATTTAATAATTATCACATAAAATAAATAAATAAATAACATAATTTTATATTTTCTACAGATAAAAATAAAATCAAATAATTTACAGTCAAGATAATTAAGAACATGCCATTTTTTAGTTCTAAACAAATAATTTAGGTCATTTTTGTTTAATGTTTTGTTTTTGTTGACGGAATGTTTCGTGATTTTGAAGAAATCAGATATATCATTCTTCTTCTTATGCAATGACACTTTGGTGAAGGAAATTTAAGAATAATACTCATTAAAATGATAACTAAAATGACAAGAGAGAAAATAATATATCTTCGTGGTCCACCATGCATGTAGGAACTAGAGAGAAAATATGCACGTAAAAATGCTATAAAAATAGAGGATGTATAAACTAATTTCTAGATAATTTTAAATATAGTTTCATTTTTTAAAAATATACATAAATTAAGTTAGCTCATGAAAATACTTATTTTATTTTTTCATATTTTTTCTCATAAAATATTTTGTAACATACCATTTTGCTCTACATTGTTTTAAGTGTGAATACAAATTTGTCATATGCATGGAATAATTAAACGTCCAACACTGTTCAACAAATAAATTTTCATAAGATGATGTAAATTAATTTTTCACAATATATATATATATATATATATATATATATATATATATATATATATATATAATATAATATAATATAATATAATATAATATAAGTGACGTTTCGATGTACTTTTTGTTTTCTTTTGGTCCGTACGTATATACAAATACTTACTATGAAAGTGGAAGGATCCGTTTTTAGAATATCACAGATAAATGTTACAAAATTAGGAAAGTATATATAGGAAGGATCTATTTTTCAAAAGAGTTAATTTTTTTAAGATATAATATTTGTTGACTTTGGTTCATGGAAACGAAATAGACACTGACCCATATACTATACAATGTGACGTCTTAAACAAATCTTCCATTTTTTTAATATAAAAAAACATATATATTTTTTCTGTAAATCTATAATGTTCATCCTCCTATCAACTTTTGCTATTTACGTCATTGCTTGTATCATTGATATTTTGCATATAAGTTTTAATTTTGCATGCCTCTGCTTGTATCATTGACTTTCTGCGTATAAGTATTTGCAACATCCCGTAAGTTGCATGCAAGCATTTCCCCTGCACTTGAATCGGTGGTTGAACACTTCACTATGGTGTTCATATTTCCAACGTTTCTGTCCATGAAGCTCCAACCCTTTTTGCTGCTTCTTCTTCTTCTAATATACTTTTCTGAATTTTCCCACTATGATGCTGCTATTTCTTCTCAGATTGCTTCTGAAACAAATGCTTTGTTGAAGTGGAAAGCCAGCCTTGACAATCACAGTCAAGCTTCTCTCTTTTCATGGACTGGCAATACTTCTTGTAATTGGCTCGGAATTACATGTGATGACTCCAATTCTGTGTCTAAAATAAATCTTACAAGTATTGGATTAAGAGGTACGCTTGAAAATCTCAACTTTTCCTTCCTTACAAACATTCGCACTCTGATTATGAGTAACAACTCCTTGAATGGGAGTATACCTCCTCAAATTGGACTCCTGTCCAATCTCCATACTCTTGATCTCTCTGTTAATGAACTCTCTGGCAGCATTCCTAGTACCATTGGTGACCTATCCAAACTTTCATATCTTAGTCTTAGTACAAATCATATCTCTGGGATTATTCCTTCTCAAATAACCCTCTTGATTGGCCTTCAAACATTGTTCATGGGTTATAATATTTTTACTGGCTCCCTTCCTCAAGAAATAGGGAGACTAAGGGATCTGAGCATACTTGATATTCCTTGGTCCAATCTCACAGGTACAATCCCAATCTCCATAGAGAAGTTATACAATTTGTCTCATCTGGATGTTGGAGGCAACAACCTTTCTGGGAGCATTCCTCAGAGAATTTGGCATATGGACCTTCAGCATTTGTCACTTGCAGTTAATAAGTTCAATGGTTCCATCCCCAAAGAAATCGTGAATTTGAGGAACCTGGAGATTCTATATCTTCAGAATAGTGGCCTTTCCGGCACTTTGCCCGAAGAAATTGGGATGTTAGGGAAAATAAGAGAGCTCGACATGAGCAATTGTAGTCTTATTGGGTCCATTCCTACTTCAATTGGAGCTTTGACCAATATAACACTTCTCAAGTTAGAAGACAATCAACTTTTTGGTCAGATTCCTCTTGAAGTTGGAAAGTTGATTAACCTCAACAGTCTATATTTTGGAGGTAATCATCTTTCTGGCTCAATTCCGGATGAAATTGGACTTCTGAAAAATCTCAGTCAACTTGATTTGTCTAGTAACTTTCTCTCTGGGAAAATCCCCTCCACAATTGGAAACTTAAGCAATTTAGTGTATCTTTACCTTTATGGAAACAGATTCTCTGGTTCTATCCCTGATGAAGTGGGAAATCTCCGTTCTCTTTCCGAACTCCAATTGTTGGACAACAACCTATTTGGACCAATCCCGACTTCCATAGGTAACATGGTCAATTTGAATAACATTCGTCTTGATAACAATAAACTCTCTGGATCAATTCCTTCAATTATTACAAATTTGTCAAAGCTAAGCGTATTAATTTTATCATCAAACGAGCTTACTGGACAAATTCCTTCCACTATTGGAAATTTGTCGAAGCTTCGTGAATTATCTTTGATTGAAAATTATCTTAGCGGCAAGATTCCAATAGAAATGGTCAGACTCACTGATTTGAAAAATTTGCAGCTAGCTGATAATAATTTTGTTGGTCATTTACCTCAGAACGTTTGCATTGGTGGAAAGTTGCAATACTTTTCTGCTAGCACTAACAATTTCACAGGCCATATTCCGGAGAGTTTGAGGAATTGCTCCAGCCTTATAAGAGTCAGGCTTCAGAAAAATCAATTAACTGGAAATATAACAGATGCTTTTGGTGTACTTCCAAACTTGTACTATCTTGAATTGAGTGAAAATAATTTTTATGGTCACCTTTCACCTAATTGGGGGAAGTTCCGTAGCCTCACAAGTCTCAAGATCTCTAACAATAATTTATCAGGCGTTATACCATCAGAGCTAGGCGAGGCAACCAAATTAGGTGTACTTTGGTTATTCTCAAATCATCTTACAGGAAATATTCCACAAGAGTTAAGTAACTTGGCTTTTTTGTTTGATCTCTCACTCAACAACAATAATCTTTCAGGAAATGTTCCCACAGAAATAGCTTCAATGCAGAATCTTCAAATTTTGAGGCTTGGTTCTAATAATTTGTCTGGCTTAATTCCAAACCAACTTGGAAATTTGCTCAATTTATTGAACATGAATTTGAGCCAGAATAAATTTGAGGGAAATATTCCTTTAGAGTTTGGCAAATTGAATTCTCTTACAAGTCTTGATCTTAGTGAGAATTTGTTGACAGGAAGGTTAACACACATGCTTGGAGAATTGAGAAAATTAGAAACATTGAATCTTTCTCACAATAATCTTTCAGGTGATCTTTCTAGCTTTGATGGTATGGAAAGCTTGACATCTATTGATATATCTTACAATGAGTTTGAGGGTCTACTTCCAAACATTTTAGCCTTCCGCAATGCTACAATTGAAGCATTAAGACATAATAAAGGCTTGTGTGGCAATGTTAGTGGCTTGGAGCCTTGCCCAACATTAAGTGGGAAATCACACAATCATATGACAAAGAAAGTCATAATAATAGTTTTACCCATTATTTTGGGCACTCTAATACTGGCATTATTTACTTTTGGAGTCTTGTATCATTTATGCCAAACTTCAATGAAAAAAGAAGAACAAACCACCAATTTACAAACTCCAAACACATTTGCAATATGGAGTTTTGATGGCAAAATGGTATTTGAGAATATTATAGAAGCCACAGAACATTTTGATGTGAAACATCTGATTGGAGTTGGAGGGCAAGGATCTGTTTACAAAGCAGTTTTGCCTACAGGTCAAGTTGTTGCTGTCAAGAAACTTCATTCTAATCCAAATGGAGAAATGCTTAATAAAAAAGCTTTCACAAGTGAGATCCAAGCTTTGACAGAAATTCGTCATCGTAACATTGTAAAGTTATATGGGTTTTGTTCACATTCTCAATTCTCATTTTTGGTGTGTGAATTTCTTGAGAAGGGTGATGTCGAGAAGATTTTGAAGAATGAAGAGCAAGCAATTGGATTTGAATGGAACAAAAGAGTGAATGTTGTTAAAGGAGTAGCAAATGCTTTATTTTATATGCATTGTGATTGTTCACCTCCAATTATTCATCGTGATATATCAAGCAAGAATGTTCTTTTGGATTCAGAATATGTAGCTCATGTCTCAGACTTCGGAACAGCCAAGTTTCTTAATGCAAATTCATCCAATTCCACCTCATTTATAGGAACTTTTGGATATGCTGCTCCAGGTTACATTCCTTTCTTCATATATATACTAATTTAGTGTTATCATATTTTTCTAATTGCATATAGTTCACAATTATCTTCATGTTGTGTTTGTTATTTTGCATATGACAACACTTTCAATTTGTTTCAGAACTTGCATATACAAGTGAGGCAAATGAGAAATGTGATGTGTATAGTTTTGGGGTATTGGCATTGGAAATATTGTTTGGAAGGCACCCAGGTGACATTACATCTTCTTTAATGATATCATCTTCATCAACTGGTGTGACCTCAACACTTGATCATATGGTATTCATGGATAAGTTGGATGAACGTCTCCCTTATCCTAGAAGCTCTACATTTAAGGAGGTGGTATCAATTGTGAAGATAGCAATCTCCTGCTTGACTGAAACCCCACAATCTCGTCCTACCATGGAGCAGGTTACCAAGAAGCTTGCAATGTCGAATTCATCTTCAATGCTCCACACACGTACATAAATTAAACGTGCAATCTTGTTTTCGTTAATGAATTATAAAACTGACCCATTTGAAAAGGTTTTGTTTCAAATATTCTTTTCATGAGAGCTTTAGGAGTCAAGCCCTTCACACAATCCACTTCACTCCTTTATAACAAAATAAAATAAACTTTTATATATCGGATTATACGAGATTTAATGTAAAAAATGTTTTATATTTTTTATATGGTTTCGTTTTTTCTACATATGTGACGATTTTTTGTTTGCGACCACAATAATAATACCAGCATGAATTTCTTAAACGTTTTGAGTGATGATGATAGTATTTATTGTTTTATATATTTATTTCTAGTTGGATTAAAACATTTTGGTGTTTATTATGTGATTGATCAAATTAATTAATGTTTTGCTTTATCAATAAGATATAAAATAAGAAGGGGTGTCTAAAGCTAAGAGAAAGAGAATAGTTAAGAAGGTTAATAGGAAAAAAAAAAAATTTATTGTGTGCGTTCAATATCATTATTTAAGAAATCATGCAAGATGTCTTTTGGTCTCAAGTTTTTCTTAAAAGGATAGATGGATGAATTTAAAAGTGTAAGATTTAAAGGTAAATTTGTACTATATAACGTTGATTAGTTATTTTGATATAAATTTATATTTTTTGCATTAACGTTAGTACTAAATGAAACACAAAAAAATAAAATAAAATAACAAACCTACAAAGTTTCTTGTATATAAGTAAATAAGAATTTTATGACAAACGCTTTCCACTATTCTTTCAAATTACAAAATGTTGAATCTTCAACTTTTATTTACTTAATCTGTCAAATAGGCTTTTTAAGTTGGAAGGTTCAAGAAAGATGTCAAATTAAATAATAAAAAATTATGATTTGAATTAAATAAATTATATTTAAGTTATTTTAGATCAGCTAACCCATAAGTTTATAGATTGATCCATTTTATAATATAATAATTATTTATTATAATATAATAATTATTTTTTAAAATAAAATAAAAATAATATTATTTTATTATATATATATATATATAGATTATAATTAATTTGATAAAAATTTATTTATTTATTTTAAGAGTAAATATCATAATAAATTTATTTTTAATTCTTATTTTGATATTGAATGAATACATTCTTTTATCATTTATATATTAAATTATTATATCTTAAATTAAAAATAATTTTATTACTGAAATTTAAATTTTCAAAATATATTTTTATTTTTATCAATATATTTTTTAATTAATTGATTTTGTATAAATATGTTAATATTTTAGAAAAAATGAATAAGGTTAAAATTGACTTATTAGTTGGTTGTCTTAACATAGGATTAGACTAGATTAACATAGGTTAGATTAGATTTTCAATTTTTTTTACTTAATATATAGGATAATGCAGACTAGATTAGACTCTTGTTTTGATAGTTCTACTCTCCTATATATATCTTTACATATAGAAAAGATACTATTGAATATTCGAGTTAAACAATTAGATTTCTTTTGTTTACTAGTAAATTGGCACTTTGATTACGAGGATAATTTTTTCTTTTGTTTACAATTTAATACTTTCTCCTCGTAATGTTATTGGGATAAACCTACATTATCAGATAACACATGTTAAACAACACAATTTGTGTTGTCATAGTTTGCATGCACAAAGCAAAACATGGTTTGATTGGTGTTAAGTATTGTTTGCGTACCAATGAGATGCTAAGAAGAACTTGAATAATATATAATACAGACTTACAAGGTGTATGGATGATACCAACTAAAGTGAATGTATAATATATGTAAGTGAGCAGCTAGTGTGGTTAGCTCATGAGTAGGTTATAGGTTTCTCATAATGGTTCAATATATAACTAGCCATGGCTCGGTCAAAATGCTGCTATTTTGGATGTGATCCCTCATAAACTGATATTTATAATCAAGAAGAATAAAAATATTACTTTTAATTATATTAAAGTTTTAATAGTTGAGTGCAATAATTGATATTTATTCTACCATACCATATTTGAAACATTTTTCCCAAATAACCTTATCTTAACATATTCTTAGCTAAACTAACATTTCTGCAATTCATCCAAACTAAAATTTCAAGCTTCTATTCATGGTTGTAAGTATATATAAATTCTTGAATGTATATATACTTATTAAAGGTCAAATTAGTTTCATATCTTCTAGGATATTGAATGCTTAAGAGGGAAACTAATATATATATATATATATATATATATATATATATATATATATATATATATATATATATATATAAATTTTTGTGTAGTTTTTTTAACACATTTGAATAAAATCAAACCTTGTTTGTGAAACTTGCTTAATTAGTTTGTAACTTAAATTTATTTATTTGTAACTCTTCTTAAGAAATTTTTCTTTTATTCTCCTATATTAATAACTTTTTTTAGAGGATTTAGTCCCAAGTTTTTTGAGACACTTGAGAAAGATTTTTATTTTTAAATTAATAATTAAATTGAAATTAATTATTTTATAAATTATATATTTAAAAAAAATTAAATAGTTTCATTTTAAAAAAATTATACTAAACTTGTACTAGATAGCATGATTGCAAGAAAAAAATGAAATTTGTGTTACCTAGCATGATTTAAAAAAAATAAAAAATAATAGTTGCAACTAAAAATGTACTATGAAACATTACCGGATGAAATTATGCTTTCAAGTATGATTTGGCCATTTTTGTAATTTTTTTTAAATTTGACCCTATATGACAGATTTAGATTTTTTTTTTAACCCTGTAAAAAGGCATGCTCCTTCGTATTGTAATCTTTTAACTAATTTGCATTCTTTAAAGTAATTGGTTGGTTTAGTTATTGATATATTATAATTTGTGTGTTGTTCCTAATTAACTAATGTTCGGAAAAATAATGGTTTACGTCTACTCATCTTTTCTAAACCTAATTAATAAGTGAGAGAAAGTTTTTCTCATTAATTTCGAACATTGACTTAAAAAAATGTTAATTAATGAAAGATATTTAAAAAATAATATAATAGATAGTTAGAAAAATAATCTTATATAAAAGACAAATATAGTTTCATGAAAACAAATCTTATATAAAGGAGACAAAGAGAGTAACTTCCAAAGTTAACAATAAATATGTGAAATCATAAATATAACAATAAAACCCAGAAGACTTCATGATGAGGATACATAAAAAGTAAACAAGAAATGATATATCAGAAGTTTAAAACAACACACAATACAAAACAGAAAAGAGCAACAAAGACCCAACTATGTATAAGTGGCAATGTGAGTTAATCCATTGAAGATGAGCTTTACATTTCAAAATCATTGACAGCATGCTCCATAGTAGGGCGAGATCGTGGACTTTCAGTCAAGCATGCTAGTGCTACCTTCGCAATTGATGCAACCTCCTCAACAATAAGTTTTGTTGGATGAGGGAGACGTTGGTCCAACTTATCCATCAATACCAGAGGATCAAGATTTAAGGTCACACCAGTAGATGAAGATGATAGCAACGAAGAAGATATAAAATCACCTGGGTGGTTTCCAAGAAGTATTTCGCATGCCAACACTCCAAAACTATACACGTCACATTTCTCATTTACCTCCATTGTGTATGCAAGTTCTGCAACAAATTATAAGTATCATGTGCAAAATAGAATTTTGGTGGCAGAGATAAAATGTAGATAATTGTGACTAACAAAAGAGAAACTAAAATATTATGATGTAATCAATTAGTACAAAGAAAGAAAATTAACCTGGAGCAGCATATCCAAAAGTTCCTACAAATGAGGTGCAATTTGATGAATTTGGATTAAGAAACTTGGCTGTTCCGAAGTCTGAGACATGAGCTACGTATTCTGAATCCAAAAGAACATTCTTGCTTGATATATCACGATGTAGAATTGGAGGTGAACAACCATGATGCATATAGCATAAAGCATTTGCTACCCCTTTAACAATATTCACTCTTTTATTCCAGTCAAACGCAATTGCTTGTTCATCATTCTTCAAAATCTTCTCCACATCGCCCTTCTCAAGAAATTCACACACCAAAAATGAGATTTGAGAATGTGAACAAAACCCATATAACTTTACAATGTTACGATGTCGAATTTTTGTCAAAGCTTGGATCTCACTTGTGAAAGCTTTTTGATTGAACATTTCTCCATTTGGAGCTGAATGCAGTTTCTTTACAGCAACAACTTGACCTGTGGGCAACATTGCTTTGTATACTCGTCCTTTGCCTCCAACTCCAATAAGATGCCTGTCGTCAAAATGTTCTGTGGCTTCAACAATATTTTTTCAAATACAATTTTGCCATCAAAACCCCATATTTCGAATGTGTTTGGAGTTTGTAAATTAGTAGCCTGGTCTTCTTTTTTCATTGAAGTTTGGCATAAATGATACAAGACTCCAAAAGTAAATAATGCCAGTATTAGAGTGCCCAAAATAATGGGTAAAACTATTATTATGACTTTCTTTGTCATATGATTGTGTGATTTCCCACTTAATGTTTGGCAAGGCTCCAAGCCACTAACATTGCCACACAAGCCTTTATTATGTCTTAATGCTTCAATTGTAGCATTGCGGAAGGCTAAAATGTTTGGAAGTGGACCCTCAAACTCATTGTAAGATATATCAATAGATGTCAAGCTTTCCATACCATCAAAGCTAGAAAGATCACCTGAAAGATTATTGTGAGAAAGATTCAATGTTTCTAATTTTCTCAATTCTCCAAGCATGTGTGTTAATCTTCCTGTCAACAAATTCTCACTAAGATCAAGACTTGTAAGAGAATTCAATTTGCCAAACTCTAAAGGAATATTTCCCTCAAATTTATTCTGGTTCAAATTCATGTTCAATAAATTGAGCAAATTTCCAAGTTGGTTTGGAATTAAGCCAGACAAATTATTAGACCCAAGCCTCAAAATTCGAAGATTCTGCATTGAAGCTATTTCTGTGGGAACATTTCCTGAAAGATTATTGCTGTCGAGTGAGAGATCAAACAAAAAAGCCAAGTTACTTAACTCTTGTGGAATATTTCCTGTAAGATGATTTGAGAATAACCAAAGTACACCTAATTTGGTTGCCTCGCCTAGCTCTGTTGGTATAACGCCTGATAAATTATTGTTAGAGATCTTGAGACTTGTGAGGCTACGGAACTTCCCCCAATTAGGTGAAAGGTGACCATAAAAATTATTTTCACTCAATTCAAGATAGTCCAAGTTTGGAAGTACACCAAAAGCATCTGTTATATTTCCAGTTAATTGATTTTTCTGAAGCCTGACTCTTCTAAGGCTGCAGCAATTCCTCAAACTCTCCGGAATATGGCCTGTGAAATTGTTAGTGCTAGCAGAAAAGTATTGCAACTTTCCACCAATGCAAACGTTCTGAGGTAAATGACCAACAAAATTATTATCAGCTAGCTGCAAATTTTCCAAATCAGTGAGTCTGACCATTTCTATTGGAATCTTGCCGCTAAGATAATTTTCAATCAAAGATAATTCACGAAGCTTCGACAAATTTCCAATAGTGGAAGGAATTTGTCCAGTAAGTTCATTTGATGATAAATATAGTACATTTAGCTTCGACAAATTTCCAATAGAGGACGGAATAGATCTAGAGAAATTGTTTACATGAAGAAAAATGGAGACCAAATTGACCATGTTTCCAATGGGAGCCGGGATTTGTCCAGTAAGTTCATTTGATGATAAATATAATCCACTCAGCTTTGACAAATTTGTAATAGTTGAAGGAATTGATCCAGAGAGTTTATTTTTATCAAGACGAATGTTATTCAAATTGACCATGTTACCTATGGAAGTCGGGATTGGTCCAAAGAGGTTGTTGTCCAACAATTGGAGTTCGAAAAGAGAACGGAGATTTCCCACTTCATCAGGGATAGAACCAGAGAATCTGTTTCCATAAAGGTAAAGATACACTAAATTGCTTAAGTTTCCAATTGTGGAGGGGATTTTCCCAGAGAGAAAGTTACTAGACAAATCAAGTTGACTGAGATTTTTCAGAAGTCCAATTTCATCAGGAATTGAGCCAGAAAGATGATTATCTCCAAGATATAGACCGTTGAGGTTAATCAACTTTCCAACTTCAAGAGGAATCTGACCAAAAAGTTGATTGTCTTCTAACTTGAGAAGTGTTATATTGGTCAAAGCTCCAATTGAAGTAGGAATGGACCCAATAAGACTACAATTGCTCATGTCGAGCTCTCTTATTTTCCCTAAGATCCCAATTTCTTCGGGCATGGTGCCGGAAAGGCCACTATTATGAAGATATAGAATCTCCAGGTTCCTCAAATTCACAATTTCTTTGGGGATGAAGCCATTAAAGTTATTATTCGCAAGAGACAAATGCTGAAGGTCCATATGCCAAATTCTCTGAGGAATGCTGCCAGAAAGGTTGTTGCCTCCAACATCTAGATGAGACAAATTGGATAACTTCTCTATGGAGATTGGGATTGTACCTGTGAGATTGGACAAAGGAATATCAAGTATGCTCAGATCCCTTAGTCTCCCTATTTCTTGAGGAAGGGAGCCAGTAAAAATATTGTAACCCATGAACAATGTTTGAAGGCCAATCAAGAGGGTTATTTGAGAAGGAATAATCCCAGAGATATGATTTGTACTAAGACTAAGATATGAAAGTTTGGATAGGTCACCAATGGTACTAGGAATGCTGCCAGAGAGTTCATTAACAGAGAGATCAAGAGTATGGAGATTGGACAGGAGTCCAATTTGAGGAGGTATACTCCCATTCAAGGAGTTGTTACTCACAATCAGAGTGCGAATGTTTGTAAGGAAGGAAAAGTTGAGATTTTCAAGCGTACCTCTTAATCCAATACTTGTAAGATTTATTTTGGACACAGAATTGGAGTCATCACATGTAATTCCGAGCCAATTGCAAGAAGTATTGGCAGTCCATGAGGAGAGAGAAGCTTGACTGTGATTGTCAAGGCTGGCTTTCCACTGCAACAAAGCATTTGTTTCAGATGCAAGCTGAGAAGAATTAGCAGCATCGTATCGAGAAAATTCATAAAAGTATATTAGAAGAAGCAGCCAACAGGGTTGGAGCTTCATGGACAGAAACGTTGGATACAATATTAAATTGTAGAAGAAATGCTTGCATGCCGTTCATGGAATGTTGCTACTACATGTATACAGAAAGTCAATGATACAGGAACCAAAGTCAACTGTTGTTGACGCGTGTTTGAAAAGTTTAAAATAGAAATTAGATATTTACCATCAAGTTATCCTAAAGCAAACAAAAAGTAGCTATTTTTTAAGATGTTAATTTTAAAAGAAAAATAATAGTATGATATTTAATAAGAAAATTTGTTATTCAATAATAGACATTGTTGTGCGTTTAATAAGCTATTTCTTAGCGGAGGTACTTCTTCAAAATTTATCTTTGTTAGTACAGTAAGTTTTTTACATTTAAAGTTATTAAGTTTTTGTCGTATTCTTATTTTTTATTTAATAATAAATTTGTTATATTTTTTTGGAAAACATTTTTTTCTGATATCTGTGTTAAAAATATTTTATGACAAAATTAAGTTTAGATATTCAGCTGTTAAAAAATATAAATTATATATTACAATGAAAAATACAATATATGGTTCGGAAGTTTGAAATATTTATGAAACAATAGTCGAGTATCATATTAATCATCATTTCTCTTCTTAAAAAAAATTATTCATCACAATTTCTAAAAATAGGAATGCTAATTTTAGATAAATATAGTATTCCTCTTAATGCGGATAACGACGCTGTTTTACTTCGTGTAGCGTTCTAATATTATATTTATAATTTTCCTTAAAAAATCATGAATATTAGGATTTTTTTATTTAAGAAAATAGTTTTAATTTTAGATACAGTGATTTAATATATATATATATATATATACTAATAAAATAATACTATTTTTATTCTTCATTTGAAATAGTTATTATTATTTTATAAAATTGGTTTAATGTAAATTTACTTTATAATTTTTTTGTTTGATTTGACTTATATTGTTAGACTTATTTTGGCACCTAAAGTGGTTATATCAATAATTAAGCGTGTTCTAATCAAATACTATTTATCCTCCCTAATAAACATGGTGATTATGAGATGTGAACAGGGATAAGAGAGGATTCCTAATCATAGAAACTCAAAGATAGTAAATGAAAATATTAAAAAGAGAAGGTTATTAGTTAGAAGCAATTAAAGAAAAAAAAAATCATCATTAAATTAGTCAAATAATCCATAATTTTCTAACAAATTCAAAATGTTATAATTAAGACGTGGAGATATAATCCAAAAATTTTTTATAACACTTTAGCAGTTACGATGAAACCTAGTAAAATTAGTCATTAATTCTTTATCTTTTGTGAAAAGTAAAAAAGTAAGAATATCTAAAAATATGATCATGTTAAAAAATAAAGATTCTCCTACTTCATAACAAATTATAATAAATGAATTGCGTTAACAAAATAAAGAAATTCAATATAAGTTAGTTTAGTACAACAAATCTAGAAAATATTATGACAAGACAATGAGAAAGTAAGACAATGCATCAAAAGATGTAATGAAAACACAACAATAATTAAGATAAAAAAAAAATGAAAAGCATAAATGACAGCCTTCACAAGAGTCATGTAACACCTCTAATTGAGCAACAAGATTTCCAACCCTTTTTGGTAAAAGTCATAAATACATCTATTTCAACCCATTATATGAGGCCAAAATTGGACTTATTTAGTCATGTCAAAACCCAAGTTGTCACTTAAAAATATTTTACAATCAAATGTTAATAAGTAAAGGTTCAACAAAATATGCTACAAGATATTTCCCTGAACTTAAGCTAGAACAGCGTTAGACTAATTTAGTGGTCTATTAGATGGTTGTTTATCTCTCTTTGACGATTTCTCCAAATAATTTGTCTTCCAATTTACAAGTAACGAACTTAAACCTCTTAGACAAGGCGACCTGGTGACATAAGGCATCATGTCTAAGAACTGCTAAAGGAGTACTTAAAACACTTTTTGTAGTGTCAATGAAAAAAATTCTTCAACAAAATGGAAAAATAGCATCAAGATTAACCGTGCCTTATTGAATTTTGCAAGAGTTTTAATAAGATATTTGAATTTGATTGCAAGATCAAATGCTGTTTCAAAATCAATTTTCCAATTATTAATTCATGTCATTTAGTATATTGTATGAAAACTCTAAATTCTTAACTTCATCTAATATATCATTGAATGCATTTAAAAGACATAAGTTAACTTTGCATGTTTTCATTGTAATAAATTAGGACATATGATCAAATATTGCTAGCTCCTCAAGAGAGAAAGATCCATAGATACAAATAATAATAATAATAATAATAATAATAATAATAATAATAATAATAATAATAATAATAATAATAATAATAATAATAATAATAATAATAATAATAATAATAATAATAAGAATAAGAATAAGAATAAGAATAAGAATAATAATAATAATAATAATAATAATAATAATAATAATAATAATAATAAAAGATAGATATAAAGACACTACTATAAACATATATGATGGTGAAGTTGTTATTATTTATGATGATGAATCTATTATTCTCATTTGTTAAGTTTTCAACTTTCTTCTATGTAAGTCTTCTTAATCTTTCAGTCTTCATATTTTCGCAACCATTAATTTTTTCATAATTTTTGTATTTTTTGCATATCCTATAACGATCCTGTCAAGATTGGTATCAGAGCCAGAGTGCTCTGAATTATTATTCATATTTTGTTTTCTTGTGGGGGGGAATAATATGCATAAATCATGAATAATCAAAACCAAAATGATGAGTTTATTCCAATGGAAGGGGCACTCCTAGGTCTGAGATTTGTAGTAAGACCCTTACAACCCCCAGGTATGAGTCCTAGTTTCAGTCCAAACCCAGCAATAGAATTAACAAAGCAAATTAAGAAACTTAAAAGAAAATTAGCAAGACGTATAGCACACAAAGAGAGATTAATGAGAGAAAACCCAGCAAATTATGCTTGGGGAATAGTTTGGTACAAAAGTAATATTAAGCATTTAGAAGGAAAACTGAAGGAGATTAGTCACTTTGTTGTCTAGTTTGAACTATTAATTGTTTCGATTTGTATCTTAACCCTAAATCCTTGAGTTTAAAGGGTCTTCGGGACTCTTAACTCTTCAAAAGAATCCGTGTAGCACTGAGAGGTGCTCATACGTTGGTCAGCCCTTAGGTCTGGTGGTCCCGGCAGTAAAACCCAGGAAGGGGTAGTGAGACCGTTGGTCAGCCAAATAGGCCGTGAGGCAAAGAGGTGGTCCCGTAGCATGGAGACTAGAGAAAGAGTTAGGATGCCTAATATCCTAAGAACTTTAAGTGATTTAAGGCTAAGAAACAAAGATAAATAAATAGTAGTTAAAACACCGCAACAAGAGGCTTCGTCTTCCTCGACTTCCTCTGATAATAAAGAAAAAGAATTAAAAATTGCAAAAATAGAAAACTCTTTACATAATTGGTCAATACCCATAGTTAAAAAATGTGAAGTCTATAAACAACATAAATTTTGGTCAACAAGTTTAGATGAAGTACATATAGTTGAATATAGTTATCCAGGAACTAAGAATAATAAGATTATAAACATTTTAGAACAATCAATATTAGATCAACACATAAAAGATGGATATAATTTTATTCATTTAGGATTAATCCAAGTAGCCGCAAAACCTAATTATAGAATTGGAGTAAATAGCCCAATATTAATGTTATTAAGGGATATAAGACTTAAAAAATGTAATGATTCCATAATCGCTATCCTAGAAAGTAATTTACATGATGACCCTGCCTTTTTTAATTGTTATCTCAATTTTTCAATGAATATTAAAAATGATAAAACCAGTGAAGCAATAAAATTATATGTTCAAATTCCTGAAGAAATTGTAGATGAAGAATCAGGTCCAATACAAATAATCTATAGAGTTTATTATAAAGTAACCAGAATAGATTATAACTATAAAGCTTTAAGATCTTCGCCAAAAGATGAAACCATATTAGTAGAAGCAAATCTTAGAAAATCATCAGTACAAATTCCTAAAAGACTAAGCCATGAAGAAGTAATAAGTAAAATTCCAGAGGAGTGGAAACTACAAGATATTATAGAAGAACCAAAAATATATAATACACAAATTAGAGAAATAATTCAAGATGGAACTGATATTAGACTAAGAATGAATAGATCATTATCATTTAAAAATAAAGAACCCCAAATGATATATAAAGGTCAATCATCAAGACACTCTGTAGATAGTTCGACAATAAATTTAGATTTAAGAGGATTAGATAATATTACTCCGAGAGTAACTAAACCCGTATGTGAAGAGTCTAGAGGAACAAAATCTCCTCAATATTCTCCAACTGCTTCCCAAATTTTAAATACGAGTACAAAGAGAAGTATCCTTTAGTATAGATAAAAATTGGATTAGACAAGATTTTGAGGCAGAATATAATAAACAAAATAGAGGGTGGTATTTTAAAACATTTACTAAACAGGAAACGGAAGAATATAGGAAAAAGTTTTATAATTATTTAGAAGAAAATGAAATAAATTTATATTTTTTTGATTGGTTTTTTAATTACAGTCAAGAGAAGAATTTAAATCCTTTAGAAAAGATAAGTAATACATGGAAAACTATTAATAATGAAATAATAACATCAGAATATCCTCCACAACAAGGAATTATTATAAAACCCACAAAAGATTTAGAAATAGAAGCAAGTCCTTATAAAAATGTTAAAAGTGAAGAAAAACTAGTACAAATAAATGATATAAAAAAATTACATTCTCAATTAAATTATTCTAATACCGTATTAGAAGTAATGTCTAAACAATTAACTAGAATAGAAAATAAATCTGTAAAAGACATACCCAGTAGTTCTAAAGAACCCGTAAAACCAATATATAAATTATTTAATGTTCCACAAAAAGAATTAGATTCTTTAAGATTAAAAAGTAATACGGATATACAGATAGAAGAATTAAAAAAGAAAATAGAACAAACAGGAAATACCTCTA